CACTCCGTGTGCCAATCACAATGGCACGCTGGTGATCAACAATGGAGCTGCCTGCGATGACGACTGGATGGCCAGCAGGAACTGCTCAAGTTTCGCCACCTGCGGCGCCTGTCTGGCCGCCTGGCCGACGCATCAGGAAGTGGCTCCCGTCTGCCAGTGGTGCGATGAGTGCGGCATTCGGGGCAGGTGCGTACCGGCCGGTGTGGATTGCGGTTGGCGGAGTGCCTGGTGCAACAAGGAACTGAGTGTGGGCGTTCTGGGCCTGTGTCCCCTGCCGCAATGCTACCAACTGAGCTGTGAGAGTTGTATGCTCCAGCCGCAATGCAACTGGGCAAGGAATGAACTGGGCACAGTGGAGTGCATAGCCAAGGAGCTGGTGGAGAAGAATCAATACCGTCTGGTCGAAAGCTGTCCCACGCCCTGCCACACGCACGAGAATTGCAGCTTGTGTTTGAGTCCAACGGCCACGCAGGATCGCCAGGAGTGCAAGTGGTCCACCATGCTGAACTTGTGCGTGACGCCCAGTTCCCAGCCGCTGCTATGCGCCGGCGGTGTTTGTGGCCTGGTGCTGGAAGCCAGCGAGCTGGAACGCTGCCCAGAACCATGTCACGTGTACACACAATGCTCCAGCTGTCTGGAGCACGCCCACTGCGGTTGGTGCGCCCGCGAGGGACACAATGGCGATGGCATCTGCACGGAGGGAGCACTGGAGCACAAGCAAGAACATCCATCGGGATCCACATGCGATCTAATATATGCCAGCTGGCGAAATGATTCACACCTAACCCATGCCGATGTCGTCTCCTGGCACTATGTCCAGTGTCCTGCGGAGAATGAGTGCATCAACGGGCATCACAATTGCGACGCTGTATCCGAACAGTGCATCGATTTGGACACCGCCGTGGGCTACAAGTGCGTCTGCGCCCAGGGATATCGCGAGGAGCAGGGCGCCTGCATGCCCGTCTGCAGTCAGGGATGCGTCCGCGGCAATTGCGTGAGTCCGGATCAGTGTCAGTGCGACTTTGGCTATGTGGGCGCCAATTGTAGCATTCAGTGTTTGTGCAATGGTCATTCCAACTGCGAGTCCAGCAGTCGACTGGATATTTGCCTAGAGTGTCACAACAACACGATGGGAGAGCAGTGCGAAAAGTGTCAGCCCCTTTTTGTGGGCAACCCACGGGAGGGTCATGCCTGCCAACCATGTTTGGACTACTGCCATGGGCACAGTGACGTGTGTGTGGCCTATGATGCGGATCCGGCGGTGTTTAATATGACTCGTTCCGAGCTGGAAAGAATACTACCCGAGGGACCCGCCTACAATGCCACCTGCCTGAGATGCGGCAATCACACGGATGGAGATCGCTGCGACAGCTGTTTAACTGGCTACTTCCGCGGCAGCGAGGATCTGCACAAGGAGTGCCGACCGTGCCAGTGCCATGGACACGGGAACATTTGCGATGCCGTCACCGGCGAGAAATGCAATTGCGCCAACAACACGGAAAGCGATGCCACCTGCACAGCGGGTGGCGGGAAGAATTCGGCGCAGCTCTGCTGGATGGTGCAGTGCTCCAAGTGCCGTGATTCTTATGCCGGCAACCCCACGGATGGCCACCAGTGCTACAAGCAAATAACCGTCGAGTCAAGGATGTGCTTCGATGCCAAGCCCATTGGTAAGTGGAGTTTTACTAACCAGTAATTATAAGAGTTTTCTTTATAACAAAAACGTGTCCGTTCTTTATATTTTAATTCCCTTGAAGAGGGTATAATGATTTCAGTCAGATTTCAGTTTGCAACGCAGTAAAGGAGACGTTTCCGACCCCATAAAGTATATATATATTCTTGATCGGCATCACTAGACGAGTAGATCTAGCCATGTCCGTCTGTCCGTCCGTCTGTCCGTTTCTAAGCAAACTAGTCTCAGTTTTTAAGCTATCGCGTTGAAACTTTCCCAAAAGTCGGAAGCAGCCGGATAGGACAACTATATCATTTTGCTCCCATAGGAATGATCGGAAAAAAATATTTAAAAATTAAGGCTTCGGTGCTTTTTGACATATAACCTTCTACACTTGGGGATAGCATTATTTTAATGATTCTGAATTTCGAATTTAATTTTTTCAAAATGCCATAGAAACGATCGGAATATTAATGTATTTTCCCATTAATTAGAAAATAAATTATAGCTTCGTTTTAATTGTATTCTCTTCTACTCTAGGACATGTTTTTTTTAGTATTTCCGAATTTCGAATTAAATGAAACAAAAATCGGACGACTTTATTTTATAGCTGCCATAGGAAGGACAACAAAATATTGGCAAAATAATACGAAGTTTAACATTTTTGCAATTTGTAAATTATTTCGGCTGGCCGAATCTAGCTTCCTTGTATTCCTTACATTTATATATTTGTTATATTTATGCCTTCCTTTTTTTCACCACAGAGGAATGCAAATCGAAACCAGCTGCCCTAAAGCCCGGCCAGACAGTGTTCTTTGTCATCCAGCCCCGATTCATGAACGTGGATATACGCATTATTATTGACGTGACACAGGGCGAGTTGGACGTCTTTATGTCGCCCCAGGACGACTCCTTCATAGTTGAAACAAATGAGACGACCGGCTACCACGAGATTTTCCTCGATAACCGCTACAACTGGGGACCGAAGATGAAGCGAGAACATCCGCTCAATATTGCTTCGCCCAGACACGACAATGTAACGATCCAGAAACTATTTTCACCAGAACGTCGCATTGGCGGTGGCGGCCTGGGAGGAGGCGGAGGCGAGAGAATAGGAGCCAATTCATATTATGTGCCCCAGTTGCAGGACTGCAAGAGCCATGGGGGTCACAATTTTATAGTAAAGGATCAGCACGCAAAGGATTTGAGTACACATGTAACGCTCAATCATTGCAATACATTGTTACGCCTGTTTGGGCTAAAGAATCGTTTGGTGCTAACCCTGCCCCAACATGCTCACAATCTAAGTGCCACCCGCTTCTTTATTGCCTTGCGAGCGAGCTCCGGACCGGAACCCAGTTACGGATCCGTGGTCTTCCGCCAGGATCAACTGCATATTGATCTGTTTGTGTTCTTCTCAGTGTTCTTCTCCTGTTTTTTCCTCTTCCTCGCCGTCTGCGTGATTGTGTGGAAGGTGAAGCAGGCGGCGGACCTGAGGAGAGCTAGAAGACAGCATGTGGTGGAGATGTTGCACCTGGCCAAGCGTCCGTTCGCCCAGATTTTCCTGGCATCGGGCAGCCTTGATGTGGACAGTCCACAGCCGGCGTCCTCCTCCTCGGCTCGTGCCATGCGACAGCGTGCCCGGCAAGCGCTGCTCCTTCAGGAGCAATCCGCTGGCGACTCCCAGCCAGTGATGCACCACTCCAGTCGCCGTCAAAGCTCGCGCATTATGATGGTTGCCATCGAGCCGACCTTTGACAATTTGGCGGCCGTGGGCACGGTGTTCATTAGCTTGCCAGGTCGCTCGCGGGCTCCACTCAGCATTGCCCTGGGATCCACGCTCATTTCCTATTCGCGGCAATATCCGCTGAATCCTCGCCACTTTATGCGCGCCCAAAGGGGCCAGAATGTGGCGCTTCACCCGGCTTAAACAGGAATCTATATCAGCACGAACAAACTAGTTGTTAGTCAATGTCTAAAGGCCGAACTTAGTTTAATATCTGTGCATGTGAGTATGTATGTGTGAAGTACATAAAGACATTCGTTTAGATATCGGTGTATATGGAATAGTGTAGGACATTTTTGTACATAACGTTTAGATAACGCAAATAATTAATACTATGTGTATATAAATATGCAACAAGATGTGTGTTAAAAACTGTGCCCGCACAAATCATCTATATTTATAGTTTATACCTATGAAAAGATAAACATACAGGAAATGGATAAATATTAGATATTAAGCATTATATTATAATGGAATATTGGGTCTCGAATCTGCAACAGGATACAGAAAAGCATTCACATATTTTAAACACAGAACAAATTTTCGGACTGATTTATATGAAATTTCATTTGGCTATAATGTAGTTTAAAGGTAATTTAATTTAATTAAAGAAAATAACCATCAGAAAAGTTCCCAAGTGAAAAGTAATGAAATTCGAAAGTACGCATAGAGCAGAGGGAATTTAATACACAGTAAAATACTTATAAGAATGTCAATTTTTTCGCGAAACGGAATGCCGCACACGAACATGTAGAAGCCATATGAAAAACAAAGAAATCAAGATATACGTATTATTATAGTATACTGAAAGTGTCATAGCAATTAGACGTTGATAATTCCGAACCTAAATGGATGTCATTCTCTGTCGCTCAAATAGGTTTCTTTTAAGATATGTACGATATCATTTTTTATTCTCGCGTACCTAGTATATATTTACAAATATTGTATAAAGTATTATGATATTCCCTTCCTGTTGGTGGCTAGCATTTGCTCAATTAGTTCTTTAGCTCTCTACTGCGCACTCTTACGCACCGGTGTACCTACTATTTTAAGAACGAGAAACTATTTTTATGTACAATCCAGTTTTTACACACTTGTTATGTTTACACAAAAGCTCACAGACACAAAAGCGGCTGGATAAATTGGAATGATTTCTAATTTTGAAACATTTCAAGTACTATCCGGCTGCACAACATCACAAACGAACAAAATCCTACAGAATCTTTCCTAACACGTTACACTAATCTCAGTAACCAAAAGGTTGTAAGAAATTCTCACTATATCGATTTAGTTTAGAATTCCCTCCTTATATGTGGTACTATTTTTGTATATTTTGAGTTTACGAAATTAGCTAAATTTTTAGAACTGATGTATATTTAAAAAAATTATTGAAATCGTCCCATTTTGCAATATATTTATATATTTTATTTTATTTTATTATATTATTTGTAATTGTTTTTTGCAATAAAAATGAACTTATGGTATATAAACAATTGACTTTGACTTTAATTTCCAACCCAATAAAAATAGGCTGGTACTATTTCAATTCATTGTGCAAACGAATAATTTTTATTGATTAAATATTTGTATGTGATAAATATATATTTATGCTGTATGTTTATATATAAGCAAGCAATTGCTTTGAATTCTACGGTTTAGTTTGTTAGACTCAACGATTGTGTTTTAACTAGAGCTTGTGGTTGAAGGCAGGGCTGCGAGGAGTTCCTCGATAAAGCTGTCCGGCTGCTCGATGAGATGCAGAAGACCTAAGGATAACATAAATAATTAAATAACGAAAAGTAAAGAAAGACAGCTTTATTGTGAGACCCACCTGCTACGTCGCAGAACTCTCCGAAGGAAGTGCACGGCAGGAATTCATCCGTTAGGGTCTGCAGGATGCCGTCCGTGGATTTTAGCAAAGCCTCATCATTCTTTCGCAGGTAGTCGAACAGGGAAATCGGCCAATCCTCCTCCTTGGGCGTGCTAACCGTCTTGAACAGGTTGTTGTAGATCAAGTCCACCAGCGCCCACATCATGAGGAAGGGTTTATACACACTGTACTCCTTGGACTGCCGATCCGCCGGTGCCAACAGAGCCTTGCACAACACCGAGGGTGAGATGTGACGGGCCTGAGCCACTGCTAGCATCCTCTTCAGATGCGCCAGCTTATGCTTATTCCACAGCTCTCGACTGTGCAGTGAGAGCGAAATGGTTGCCATGTATAGAGGACCATCCACCTCGTAGCCACACTCCAACCACTTCTCGCTGGGCGCTGCTTGCAAATAGGTAAGCAGAGTTTTGCTGTCCCTGGCCGCTGATCGAGAAGAGAGCAGCAGATAGACGGAGTAGAAGAGCAGGTAGGGTACAAAGTGCATGTTCGACTGCGGACCGCCTCCGCCGGCGTCGTCGTGGAAGCTGCGTTCCCAGGCAAATCGCACCAACAGCAACTTCAAGTCGTGCACACTGCTTGTGTAGGATATGTCGCAGCGCTGGGTGCTCTCCTGCATGTAGCTGCTGTGGCGGGTCATGCAAGCAGAGAAGGCCGCCTCTCCAACGGCGGGACCCCACAAAGGCAGCAAGCCATTACATCTCGTGTTGGCATTCTGTAAGCTAGCCCGCTCCCATTCATCCCTGCCTCGCGTCAATCGTATGGCTGATGTGTGACAGTCGACGTGAACGACATTAAAGTGCGTTACCGTGGTGTAGCCAATTGTCTTCCTCGACTTGAGTTCGAATTCCTCGACATTGCAGCGCTTGGTGAACGTGTAGATGCCCAGCACCTTGTCCGGCTGGCAGGCGTAGCCCTCGCGGCAGATGAAGCACGTCAGGCCCGTTTCGTCGCGTAGCTTTTCAATCTTCTGCAGAATGGAACCCTTGGCCGTCACCTGACCCTTCTCATTCGTCCGCATTCCCAAGGCATCAAGTTGTTTTTCTCGCGTCGCCATAGCCAGTCGCTTCTTCTCCGCGCGGGTAAAATCACGCACTTGTTGCACCCTCGCTGCTGTGGCCGAATCGGTGGAGAGCGCTTCCAGCAGATTCTCAGCCAGACTGCCCACATGCTCATCACTGGATACTTGCTCCAGGCGGTGAATGATGGGTATAATGTCCTTGCTGATGGCGACCTGGGTAGCCTCATGATGATTCGAGAGGCCGGTGAGGAAGCGCAGGATGTACTTCAAGCTCGGTCGCGAGATAAACTCCTTTAGCTCATCGGAATCGGTTCGCAGGAGAGTGGGTTTGACACAAGGCGCATGCTCGGTGATGTAGGCTAGCGATCGCTCTACGATGCCCAGGCTAACTATGTAGTCCTTGAGCGTGCCGCCAATGCAGTTGTGCTCGATTTGGTTGGTCAGCACGCAGAAGAGTTCCAGCTTAAACTCTTCTTCGGGTGTGCGCTCGTTGTCGAAGCGTTTAAAGCTCAGGGTGTCCTGAAAGAGGGGATGATAATTAATCGTATTATTTATTGCTTTCAAGAACTTACCTTAAAATGCTCGCAAAGCAGGGCCATCTTTACTTCGTTGCCATAAACCAAAGCGGCCAGAACTCGGATGAGATGACGCAGCACCGAAGGATTGTTTCTAACGTTCGGGCAGTCAGTGCAGGATATTAGGGCGCTTACATACTCCGGCCCACCAAATGTCAGCGAAAACTGCAGGAACGAGTCCAAAGTATCGCTCGCCGCCTTCGAGAGTATCGTCTCCATGATCTCCAATAACTGCTCGGTGACCGCCGACTGGATCGAATCGTTTTCCGACTGTAGGCACATTTGCAGCACCTTCAGCAACGTGTTGATGGCTCCAATTTCGGGCTGACAGAGCACCTCTTGGCAACGGCGCACCTTTACGCATATCAGGAACAGCTTGAGCAGCACTTGGATAAGCTCGCGGTTGCGCGAGATGCGCTGCAGACTGCCAATTCGGTCCAACATGACGCGAAGACCGTTGCAATCGGCCAGTACGTTAGCCATGCGATACAACTGTTCGGTGTCCACCGCCTCCTGGCTTTTGTTGTTCAGCGTCTCCACAAACTCCTCTGTGGCGTCTCCCAGCAGACCGCGCATGCGATAAACGATCCTCATGGCATCTCGGTCGCCTCCTTCGGCTAACCAAACCTTTTTGTACACATCCTTGACGGGCAAATCCAGACTAATGATCTTGTTGTTCACCAGCAGTTCCATGCCGTTGTCATCTTCCAGCAGGGCAATAAGTTCGCAGTCCGTGCAGATCTTATTTTTGACATCTCGCATCAGTGGACCCAGTCCCATTTCACTCGAGGGATAGGGATTACCTAGCATGCGGCCCTGTAGGAAGTCCTCCTGCTGGGGATCCTTCTCCAACGTCATATAGAACTCGCTCTCGTCGTGCTCCTCAGGATGAATGATGGAGTACAACCGCTCGAAGATGAACACCGGCGTTTTGATGTCATTCATGCGCGTCTTCTCCACCGTGTCGATGAGGATTTCCATGAAGGCACGTGTCTCCTCCTCGGTGCCGCTGGTCATGTCCTCTAGCATCTCGAGCAGCTTCTCCTGAGCGTCGTCAATCAAGCGCGTCCGTTGCACCACCAAGCTTCTCAGGGCAAGATAACTTTCCAAAACGGGACCAAGCATGCGGGTCTTGTAGGTCCTGCGGATATTTGGACACTCGAGCAGTAACCACAACAACTCCACATACTGCCGCAAGGCATAGCCCAATGACAAGTCTGAGGAGAGTGAGTGCTCCTCCATGCGATGCACCTTGCTTATTTCAATAGCCAGCAGCTGTGAGATTTGGCTGAGTACTCCTTTTAGCACTAAATACTGTAGCCAAGGTTGCTCGGTGGCCATGCTCTTGTACAGCATTAGATACTCTGCACTCGCCTCGCCCGCTTCGCCCACATGCTTCAAGAAAGATGTGAGCATATTCAAGGCTTGCTGCCTCCGTTCATTGGTCCTGCTCAAGCTGCTAAGCAAGGAACAGGCCAGCTGGCGGCCAAATCTTGAGTTTGCGTTGAATAGCAACGGTTGGATCCACTTGGCATTGAAAACGAGAGGCTTAACCACTCGGTGCTTGTCCAGCACCCGCTCCCTCCAGCGTTTTCCGTACTTCTCGCTCAGGAAGGCGGCCCGCACCTCACGTCTGGTTCTTGGAGGGGCTTCCGGTACAGAAGCTGTTCCCGCTGCTGGTCCAATTTGCTCCGATTTGGCGTTCTTCTGCTTTGCCTGGCTATTGCTCGGCATCCGACTGCTCCAGGCAGCGTACTCATGATTGCGATCCGAGTTGAGCCACGCCCTGTAGTCCACCGTATTGCCTTCGAGCAGCTTCATACTGCACAGATCCGTTGTGGCCACCTTCTGATTGGGCTTGCTGCTCGGCAGCACCGGACAGATGAGATTCTGCATGATGCGCAGACAGGGATGCAGCACTGAGGTCACAGGACCACGAGGCAACCTTTGGGGAAGGGTAATCAAATATTAGCCCACTATTTATTTAGGATATCGCATAGTCAAACTCACCTGCAGTTGCTAATAAACAGCTCAAAGATGACCTTCAATTTGTATTCCCAGCAGACATCGTCCTGCCCCAAAAGAACTTCCAGCAGGGTCATCTCCTGGTGCACAGCTGCCTCTAAGCTTATCAGAGGAATCGATCCCATTAGCGCATTCTTAACCCTCGCAGTGACCAACTGCAGCAGGTGCATGCATGCCTCGGCGTTATCTTTTGTTAGGACAACCAACAGGTTGCGCACCTCCTCCTGAATCTGTGGAGTGCCTCGTCGCAGGTTGTGCTCGGCCAGCTCGCTTACGAGTCCCTGGCTGTACAAACCGACCCGACAATCGTAGTTGTAGGCCATGGCCCGCAGAAGAGTCAGACACTGTTCGGTGGAGGCCAGCGCGCAGCCATAGCAGCGGTTTGTGGTGGGATTCTCGGATGTCGAGCCCGGATTGACCGGCGGCTGGTCCAGCTGTTGACGATCGTAGGCCACTAGTTCGCTGGAAAGTACATTAAATTAAAATAATTATCAGTAAGAGGCATATATTTATTTATTATATTAAAATTACCTGCGACACGCCTTGACCTTCTGGACGATCTTGCTTAGCTCCTCGAAACTGGTGCGTGATTCCACGCAGTATTTCTGGGCCAGCAGCTGTATGATCTTGTTCACCTGCGAGGTGCTGTGTACGCTGGCCATGTTGTCCTCCACCATGCGATCGCTGCTTCGGTGCTCGGCAACCTTCTGGATAAGGAGCTCCAGCATTTGCTTGTTGGTCAGCAACTGACGGTAAATTCTATCCGCTCGCTCCAGTGAGCTGTGTATCAGTGAAACGGTCTTCACCCGATCCTCTGCTGATTCTATGGGATCGACAGCGCAGCAAACGCGGGCATACATGCTGAAATCGAACTTGGCGTACTTGCAGAAGCCACACGAGTGACACAGGAACGGATCCTTTTCGTCGTAGTTGATAGCCCGACATTTGTGGCACTGGAACACATTCTCGCCGCAATTTCCGCAGACTCCTGGATACGCTGGCACTGCTGCACTGCATCTGGGACACTGAAGATTCTCACTGGATCCACTGACAGTTTCAAAGAAATCAGCAAACTCGATCATCAAATTGCAGGCCGTGATCGGCAGTGGGAAATCGATCTTCAATTCGGTTTGTGCGGATTGCAGGGATACAGAGCGAGCTTTGTGCCACAGTGCTGGACGATTCTTTAGCTCCACCACCGCCTGGACGCTTCGGTTATTGTAGTAGACATTAATGGTCCTCACCATCTTTGTTCGCTTGAGGTCAGCGATCCTCACGATCAACTTGGAAATCGTATGGCATTGCACCAGCTTGTAAATCATAGTGGTTGTTGTGTACTTTGAATCCGACTTAACTGATGGCAGTTTGATGTTGGCCATCGGAACCTCTGGATTGTTGCACACCAAACATGGCTCAGATTCGAGATAGTAACCATTCACTTGAAGAATGGACTCCAGGGTGGTGTATATGGGTGCATTGGGATGCTTGCAAAGCAGCTCGTTCTGCTGCCGCAGAACATCCACAGCCCGAGAGACAAACTCTGGCAGGCGATCCGTGATACTTCGGGTACTTAGTGTCAGATAGCCCAGCAGGTCCACAAACTGCGCTGTTCTCCTGCCGTAAGTGGGTACCAGTGGCCACAGGTTCCAGAATATGTTCAGCAATTTCTCCCGCTGCCTTTCATTGGCATGCTCAAAAAGTCCGGTCATAAAAGAGTGTGCCTGCCATCTCAGCTGGCTAATGTTGTTTTCCAGCAGGAAGATCCTCACGAACCGGATGATCAGGGCATCGCAAGCATACCTAAAGATCTGGTGCACAAATGTCCCACACTGGGCAGGATCGAACTTGGAGTAGTAGGCGTCTGTGTCCTCGCTTTTCTCCCGATCTGTGCGGAGTTTTCCAGATGAAGAGGAGGTCGATGGCTGCGGCTGCGCCTGCTTAGATCCATTGGGAGCGGGTAAATTGCAAACAGCCGCCTGAAGCAATTGTATAATAATGGGGGACACGCCATCATCCAACTGGTAACAGGCGATTTCCATCAGCATGGCTAGTGCATCTTCGTGGACGACGCAGAACTTTTGCCAGTTGCCCGTGCGCATCTGGCTGATCTCCTGGCAAGTACGCAGGTGTTCTGTAAGCTCCACGAGTGAATCGTAAGTCAGTAGAGGAGGATTCGCGTTGTAGGGAGCACCAGTCTACAGAAAACAAAAACCATTAGTTTTTAGAAAATAATAAAAGAAGAAGTATTCAGAACTCACCTTGCTGCTGACAATGTTGCACACCCTTTTGACAACCCGGAAGTGAGCGTCCAGCGAGTGACCGTCCCGATACATGCGGAACTTCTCCTTGCTTCCGCAGATGTACATGAGTAGCTTCCTCACTTGCCGCCGAAGCAGAGTGTTCAGGTTGAGCATCATGTACTCGCACAGCGTAAAGGTCATGGCTTCGCAGAATCCACTGTCGTAGTTATCCGGATGGGCGCTACTTAAGCGAAGTATCTGGTAGGGTAATCGCACAATAATCTCAGTGAGCAGACCATCGTACGACTCGAAGATATCCGGGTAGTTCTTCAGATAGTTGTGTGGTATCAGTATGGATATGTCGGGCTTGGGGCCATGCTTAATGGGCTTCAGTAGCTGAACGCCAGGACCTGAAGATCCGCCGCTGGGTTGAGCAGACTGCAACGCTCCCACTCCACCACCCGCTGCATAGGGATCTCCTAGCACATTCTTCCAGTGCAACAGAAGCGTGTTCAACGCCTCTAAAGCGTAAACAAACGCTCCACTCTTGCTGAGCACATTGGCCGTAGTACTGGCCACAAAGGAACTGTTGTCCTTGAACTGATGCGGTGGCGATGTGGTTCCAGTCTGCTTTGACTTAGTCTTGCCCATCATCACTCCAAATAGGGAGAGCAACGCCAGGCGCACTTCATTGCCAGGACACTTGGTTTCCATCTGTAATATATATTTTAGGGTTTTATAATTTTATCTCCAAAACATTACTTTATTACTTACCCTTGAGGCCGCTCCTCGCTTGCCAATTTCCACATAGTCCACCAAAGCGGTGAGCAGATCTTGCAGCACCTGCTGATCCCGCTCATTGTTGCCGTTAAGATCGGTAGTCAGCATGAGTATCACCTGTATGAGCGGTATGGCCTGTAGCCCATTGCACAGATCAAAAGTTCCCAGATGTTGGATAATGCTCTCCAGCACAGCAATCCTATGTAGCAATACCATAATTAAAACAAGAGAAAACGGTATAGTCGGGTTGTTATCCCGACTATCTAATACCCGTCACTCGGCTAAAGGCAGTGCGAGGGAGATATATATATAATGTTTCGATTGCGTATAACTTTTTAATGAATAGTCCGATTTGAAAAATTTCTTTTACATTTTGATAGGTATTTATAAACACTATAAAATTGCATTTATACATTTATAAAATCTTAAAAGATGTGGCCGCCAGACACTTTTGTGGGGAAATCTTAACCTTCTAGCTTTTGTAGTTTCCGAGATCTCAGCGCTCATACGGACAGACAGACGGACAGACATGGCAATATCGACTCGGCTAGTAGTAAATACTTTATGGGGACGAAAACGCTTCCTTCTCCCTGTTACATACCCTTTTATTCTACGGGTAACGGGTATAAAAATACTTTAATTACACTTACCTTAGATCGTGCAGCTTGCTGAGCTTATCGTCCTCGTTGATCTCGTTATCCTCACTGCTGCTCATGGCACTTAGGCCGGCGACACCACCACCGGAGCCACCCAAGCCACTGGGACCCGGTTGCTCTTGATCATCCTTGGCGGAACCCTGACGCGGAGGAGAAGCATTCGCATGGTCTCCAAAGTTACTGCTCCTGGCGGATGTACCGCCAATACTCTCCACCCCACTGCCTCCACTCTCTGATCCTCCACTTCCGGCAGGCTCTGCAGGTGAAGTGCGCAATGTTGATCCATCGGTGGCTACATTTGAGCCTTCATCGTCATCCGAACCACCGGCGGAGACGCTGGCCGCCGCGTTCGAAGCTGCTGCCATGGCTGCAGCCTGACGAATGCCCTGAAGATTGGCCAATCCTTGTTGAAGAGACTGCAAGGCGTTGGCATCACCACCGTGCTGTTGTAGGCTCAAGGCGATGGCAATGTCCATGATGGCTTCATCGTCGGCATCTTCGGGGAGACCGAGTAGCCGAGGGAAGCCGCCACCCATGAAGGCCTCCAGATTGAGTATCTGCTGCTGACCCACTCCTCCTCCTCCTCCTACACCCACTACTCCTCCCTCCGCTTCAGGATTCGGGTCGGGTAGTCCACCACCACCGCCGACGGCAGCATCCACAGCAACGGCCGCCGCTTCCTCGATGATATCACTAGCAGCCGAGGCAGCCACCGCTTGCAGCGCCCGCATCGTAGAGGTGGATGGAGTAGGTGTGGAACAAGCGGGCGGTGTAACTATGGCCACCTTCCTGCGCTTTAATCTCGGACTTAGCAGCAGGATCAACGCCTCCTTGGCGCTGTGGCTAATCACACTGGCATCGTGTTTGAGCAAATCAATAAAGTACTTGGTCATGCGACCAACCTGTCCGGGATCGGCCAAGGCAAATCCGTACATAATCTCCACGAGACAATGTACAATGGTCTCGGCCTGACACAATCCCCTCTTCACAATATTCATGGGCTCATCCAGCGCCGGCGTGACCTTGTGCAGCTCCAAGACGAATCCCATGAGGGTGGGCACAATATCGTAATTGTTCTCCGCGCAGATCTTAGCCAGCGACTGTGGTCGCGAGTTGGCAATGCCGCGAACCAGGAGAATTAGGCGGTAGAAAGCCTCAGGATCGATCTCCTGCAGAGATTCCAGCTTCTCGAGCTTTGGCTGCATAGCCTGCAGTTCTCCATGAACAAACTGCAGTAGAACTCCATCCTTGTAGTTGTGATACGCGGCTCGGGTTCCATAGAGCGTGGCCAGCACATAGCGGGCCTGCGTCTGGACAGGATTAGGCGTGGGCAGAAGCAAAAGAGCACTGGCTGTCTTCACTGCCTTTTGCCGGATGGCAGCTGGCACTCCAGATCCCAATAGGTGAAGCGCACAGTCCATTACCTCCAAAAGGTGATTGACCATTCGGTCCAATTGAGTAATACAGTTGAATCCCTCGCCAAAGTTGGCGCAACTTGTCTGGGAAGAAGATACTGGTGGAGCACTAGATCCTGCTGCAGTGACATCCTCGCTTTCGTCGGGCCAGCCCACCAGCTCTTTGGACTTGCCATAGACCTCGATGCAGTCGAGTAGTGTCACATGCTCGGGGTCCTGGGATTTGGCGAATACCACTTTCAACAGCTTGTCCGACTGGAACATCTCCTCGCGCGTCAGCGGGATGTCGAACCAGCGGGCCCTTCTCACTGGCGTTGGAACTGTGCGTCCCAAGATGGTGACCGAAAGCGGAGCTCGCTGAACATCCTGAGTTCCAATCAACACTCTTATTCCCACGATCACCACATTGGGATCGTTGTTTATCACCTCCAGGGTGAAGCCATTTGCACGAGTGCTGGCCACAAACATGCCCGTTGAGAACAGACGTGTCTTCAGCTTTTGTTTGTTGTAAATCTGGAGCAGATCATTGCCTCCGAATTCCACATCGGCCAGCATATTGCAGTGCTCGAAAAAGTCAATTGGGAACACGGGCTGACCTCCAGCCGTCAGTTGTTTCTGCTGTTGACTTGCCTTCCTGTTGTTCAGCTTTCCATTTGCCGCATTTGTCTTTGATTTGGGGGCCGAACTGGAACCACCACCCTTTGCCATCAAGGTGGATGAGTACAGCTGATTACCGAATGGTTGAACCTGCGGTGAGAGCCAGAAGCTAGTGTGTTCCGGTTGTGCGGAAAAGATCCTCAGGCTACCGTCCTCGCAGAGCAGCAGGAGCGTGGTTTTCTCCACACCGGCCACGGCATGACGGATGCCCACAACGTCCATGATCCGCGATTTCGCCGACTGCGCCTTGATCTCTTGCAGGTAAATCATCTCGGGCGTGATCATCAAAATAATCGGGTTATTCGATGTCTGCATGCTGGCGTAAACCAATCCCGGGTGACCCGTCACCTCTGTCCACTGGACCAGCGGCTGGAGTGGTCCCTTCGAGGCAGACTTGCTGACCGAATTGGTGTCCAGGTGGTAGATTCCCCGCACGCCATCATTCACATTGGTGAGTGGTGAAAAGAAGCTTCTGCCGGAGGAGTAGCTGTAGAAGAGCAGTTGAAGAGTGTGGGAGTAGTAGATCGACACACCACCGCCGCCAACTTGACCGCTTATATCCTTGATGTGTTGGTGGCTCAGCTCCAAGGTGTTGGTCACGTAGAAATCGCCATGGATCGCCAGGCTTTGCTGATCCAACTGCTGAGTGTAAATGTAACCACTGCTGGCGAAACTCAGCATATAGTAGTTGCCATCTTGGTACATAAAGGTGCAATCTCTAATCTTGCCGACGGCCACTAGGTAATAGTACTTCGGGCTGTATGTATCCACTGCCAAGTCGTAAATCTTCACATAATCAGAAGTGACGATGGCAAGAAGGGTTTGGGATCCAGGTAACCAAACAGCTTTCTTTATATAGTTTCCATTCTCCAGTTGGGGACTCACAACAATGTGTTCGTTGGTACTGCCACTGCTTGAAAAGGTGAGCACATGACACTCCTTTAAACCACAAACGGCCAGGCAATCCTCATTGCAGGGATTTGCGGCCAACGAGAGAACCGTACAGGCGATGGGTGCAGAACTCAATTGGGTTAGAGTCAACTTTCTCTTGGAGGCATCAGCCTGCTTAAGCAGCGCCGAGAGTTGAAGGATGGTCACCTTTCCCTTCTCATGGGACACAGCCAACTGCTGACGACGTCCATGTGGCGATGACAGGCAACAGAATGCCACACGACGCACCACTCCAGAGGATATCAGATGCTTTATCGTCTGACCCTGATCGCCAGAGTAATTCATGCGCACATTCTCGAATGCACCCTCTTGCGAGCCCAGCGTGGCGAACATAAGTTGATCCGTCACCTGGAAGCTCTGCTCAAGCTGGTGGAGTCGCTCCAAGGCAGCCGTTGCCCGCTTGTGGCAGCCAACAATGGAGTAAAGGGTACAGTTTTCCCTTATCGATGGCAGCAAGACGTCAAAGTACTCCAGGATGCATCTTACGACCAGCAGCCACTGATCCTGGTGCTGCAAAGTCTCGCGATAGGGTTCCAATAGCTTGCTAAGCACCATGATGCGTTCGCTAGTCAGGGAATCCTTTCGAGCAGCTATAGGTTGGCTAACCGGTGGGCTGCTCCTCTTCTTGCCAGCCAGCAAGCTCATGTGCGACGGTAGATAGCAGCTACCTATTCCGGATGAATCCCTGACCTCACTGCTGCCAAGCCGACGGCTCAACGCCTGGCAGGAACCATCCTCCTTGGCCCCACAGTCGCAGAAGAAGTTTCCATACTTGGCATAGCTCACATCGTGTCCCTTATGGCAAACCCTTGCGCAAACGGAGCAAACGCCAACGGTGTTGATCATGTTGCAGGTGTGACAGTGGTACCAATGTTGGTTCATGAACTCCTTTTGTGTTTGCGAGAAGGTGCACAGCTTGTTGTTCAAAGTGTCCTCGTCGGAGTCGTCCAGCAGCGAGTCTTGCTCGCCCTCCTCGGCCAGCTCGTCGTACAGATCATCGATATCGGTCTGAAGCTCATCGTCCCAAGGGGGAATGTGTTGCCGACTGCCGCGGTAGCCTATGCTTTGCAGTAGTTCGCTAAGATAGCGCAGCTGGGCGCTAACATTCTCCGCATGTTTTAGATGCTTGTCGGGTAATTGCAACTTGGCCAATTCCAGCCAAAGTAGCGTGGTATTAAAAAGGGCCACATGTCCACGGGCGGGACTGGCATCCGCCAGAGTAATCATTATCTGTAGTACATCCGCAAAATCGCAGCCATCTTGGGGCGGGGAAATTAAAGTTTGTCCCAGCTGCAGCAATGCTTGGAACAATGGTGGAGCTATCTGCGCTGCCTTGCTCTGATCTTTCACCAGGGATTTAACGAAGCTTAGAAGGAGTGCCCCATTTCGTTCGCTTCCACTGTGATCGCAAGCCTGCGAGGAATCCTCTGAGGGATTTGGTTGGGCCGCTTGCCACAAGCTTAGAATTTGCGATGTATTGGCTGCAGCTCCGCCTGCTCCTGCGGCGCTCTCTCCTCCTCCGCCCGCTGCAGTCCCACAATCGTAGTCAATGTCCATGGGATCCAACTGATCGGAGATACTCGGCATAGCCGAAACGGTGGCCATATTCGTTGGAGTCTGAGCATTGCTGCTGGAGCTGCTCGATGGTTGCAAAATGCTGGTCAGCATGCGGCAGGTGGTGTCCAAGGCCTCCGAGGTGCTAACATCTGTGCTCACATTGGGGCCATAGATGATGTGGGCCAACCAGAGCTTCAAACGAGCCACATCCACGGTGGCCAGTTCTGAGAAGCACTCAACCAGATCCTCGTGCGGAAACTGGGAATCTGGTTGCAATGACTGCTGGAAAAGGCGTTCAATGAACTGCAGCATCTTGCGCGCATAGCTGACGGGCAAACTGGTGCCGGTAAAGGAGAGGAGAAGTGTGGTGAGGCTGCCAGTGTGCTGATCCTTGAAGAACTGCCGCATGGCCTGCACAGCCACGGGCTTTTCCAGCATCTTGATCATGGTCTTGAGCACGGCAAACAGCATGGACTCGTTAAACATGGCACGATCCTGATCTACAGGAGCACCGCTGTTAGCTTGTGGCTGCCGAAGATCGGCTGCAAAATCCTTAAGCATTCGATAGCAATATCCAATCATGTGCTCGTAGAGCAGCAGTTTCTGGGCCTCTAGCGTCAAACCGCTGAGGATCTCCCGCAGGCATTGTTCGCTCTGCCCTTGCAGGTAATCAGTTCGCATGTCCAGCATGGAGGCAATCAGCAATTGCTTCAGCTGCGCCTCCACCTCTGCGTTGCCGGTGCAATGCGGCAGAAGAAGTTCGAACAAATGCAGGATTGACTTCAAGCAGTGCTTCAGAGTGTGCAGGGTGGAGTAATTGGCTCCGCGGGTTAGCTCTATTATATGCGCATCTATGACGTTCAAGGTGTACGGCTCCACTGGATGTTGCTTGCCATCAAAGGCTGCATCGTTGACCATCAGGCACTTGGGCCATTCATTGGCTATCAGTTGTTTGTCCTCATTGGGCAGCAGTTTCAGAAAAGCCGCATGAAGTTCCAACATAATTGCTGGCTTATCGCTTACAATGGGCACAATCAGATTCAATGCTTGCTCAGGTGTCGAGCTTGACAATTGCTTCAGCATCTGCCCACGCACAATAACCGAAAGCAGGCGGTAGGAATTCATTAGCTTTATAATAAGCTCGTTGACCAGCTGGTTATGTTTCTGCAGATCACTGGGCAGCTTACCCTCCTCTTCGTGCTTTGACTTTTGCTCATCGATTGACTCGTTCGAAGAATACAGTTCGGGGTCGTTGGAAGAGGTGGTTAAAGAAGTACCCGTTGTAGAGGACTGCTCGCTGGCAGCATCTTCGCTCTCTTTTCGCGGCCACTTGAAGCCCTCCTTGTTTGCCCAGGCCACCGCCTGCATGTGGGCCACCAAGGAATCGAAAAGGATGAGATCAGAGAGCCTGGGAGATCCTGCAGAAAGCAAGTTTTCAAAGGATTAAAGAGAATATTGTGCAAGTTTTTATATTTTATACTTTATATTAACGGACTCCCGAAATTCGCAAAATAATTATCCTCGATGGACCGCGATTTCTTAAGAATTTAATTGCAAAAAGAACTTGGCCATGGTTGTCTTGTAATTGAATTTCAAAGTTCCCGCTTTTACTATAAAAAAACAAGGGTGCTTTTCTCATATTTTCAATCAAAGTTATTACCTTTTAATGAGTTCCTATAAAATTAATAAAATGTTTAAGTGAGTTTCCTATAAAATAAATGAATTGCTTAAATGAGTTTTTTAAAATTTTGTTATTTAAATAGTGCATTTCCGCACCACCATTTAGGTAAAGTTCCAGGTTATTTTTTTAGTAACCTATTATGGGCTAGAAATCTTTTTGCTTATGTATTCCCGAATAAGAAGTATTTGAAAATAGTGAATTTAAAAAAGAAAGTAGAAGGAAAAATGCGTAGCGAGCAAAAAAAAAATTAAGAAAAAATCGAGTATAATTTTTTGGCGAATTTCGGGGGTGAGTCCGCTAATATTAAGTATTACCTATATTTCTCTTACCATTTCCGTTCATCTGACTATTAAACGCTTCCACACCGAGGATGGTTTGCTTCAGACTGTATTTCATATCGGCCGCTATATCGCCCACTTGATTCCACAACGTCTCGGCGTACTGGGTGTACATTCCCTGCTTGATAAGACTGTTCACCACCAGGTAGTGCGAACTAGCCAGTGGGCAGCGAATGCTCCAGATCAGCGAATGCAGATTGGGCGACCGTTCGACCTTCAAGGACTCCACGTGCGAGGTAGAGGGCGGCAGACCTAAAACCAGCTTCCATGCAATGCTAAAGCAGTACTGCATAGCGCACAAGTTGTGCATGCTGGCTTCCTTCTCTTTTTCCTTTGAATATACCGACATGTCGGTGATGGAGAGTATGTCAGTGAGGGCATCCACCAGTAACGGATACTTGAGCTTGTCCGGTGTGCAAAGAATAAAGTTCCAGGCCAAGCCATCCAACTTGAACTCCTGCGCCCAATAAGGTTTGTCCGGATCGCCCATAACCAGGGAATAAAATGTCGGGCGTATAGCTGTAATCGGTAAGGGATTTTATAGAGTTGCGCTGGGATTTATGGCAAATAAATATGCACTCACCTGATCCATATTCACCAGCCGACTTGCGGAACTTCTCCTCAATATCCTGACGGCAATAGGAATTCAATTTGGTTCGACTGTTGAGAAGATCCGTGATCTTTTGGCTTTCCGGCATGCTGCTTACGCTGAACAGATTCCAGCGTACCTGGTCGAGCAACTCGGGAGGAGCATTGTACAAATGCTTCATGAGATACTCCAAAAACAAAAGCAAGCGTGACAAGAGCATCATTTGGCTGTTTCTTACGGGTCTATCGCCGCTAATTCCACGGCAAACTTCCGCACAACGGATAACTCCTCCGGCCGTCAACAGCAGAATGGATTTCTTTTGCATCAGATTCAGCGAGTGGAATAGGAAAAGCAACAGTTGGGCGTGCTCTATATTCAAGTCTTCGTAGTCCGAATCAGTGGCGGCGCTCCAGGAGCAGACGCCCTCAACCAGAGTGTTGATCAGGCGATGCCAAACAGACAGGCAGGCGGCCTCTTTCTCCTGCGTGGGCTTTAGCAACAGGATTTGCACGAGCACGGACAAGGTGCTTGGATAGACCTGCAGGGGCCAGGTGTTTGTATCCGTGGACCATGGCGATATGGACAAGTGCTGCAAAAGATTCGACTGCAATTGCTCGGAAAGCAGCGAGGTGGATATCAAATTGTGTATATAGCGTCCTGCAGCGCCCGAAAAGCGTATCATCGATGTCTGCCACTTGGTAGTGGCCACCGCAGAGGATCCTGCTGCCGCATTAGCAGTCTGTGCACTTCCCGAGCCCTGTTCGCTCTCATTTCGCATGACATCGCGGTCAAAGTCCTTGATTATATTGGCCATCAACAGCATTTGCTGATCACTGACTCCCGCCTTCACATAGCGCTGCATGTAAGCGTGCCGATTGGCCAGAAATTGGTCCAGAAAACAGAATATATCCGCCGCCAAATCTAAATACTCATGTGGCTCATCCAGCTTGGGCACAAGGGCGCTCTTCTGTTCGCCACGCTCTTGTGTGGATGTATTTGCATTGTCGTCATGTGTTTCGGGGGAAAGAGTCTCCTTAAACCAGTGGCCCAGGTAGCTCTCGCTGTCGTCCTCCTCCGAGTTGTCGGAGCAGGAAAGAGAATCGTTAAAGTAGGTAGTTGAATCCGAGTAGCTAATGGGTTCACATTCGGTGCGATCCTTGGCCGAGGCGCGTCTCAAGGTGCATGCCTTGCGATAGGCCACGGTGGCCAGAAAAGTGAATAGCTGGTGGAGAGTGGCCGTGTTGAGCACTCGCACAATCCTCTCCAGCGAACTGTAGTTCTGCAAGATGTCGAACTGTGCGGGCTCCGGCAGCTCGGAAGATTCAGGACTCTGTCCGCAGGCGGATTCAATCTTCAGATCTTCAATTAACTCGGAAAGCAGTTTAATGCTGTGGTTGGCAATGGCCGCGTTAAGTTCCCCGAATCCTTGCTGAACTTTGAACAGATTGACTCTGGCAATTGGAGTGGTGGGAGCGGTTCCAGCCTCACTTCCCGTCTTGGCGGCTTTGTTAGTCGATTTGGATGCAGTCTCCAAACTGGATCCACCACTACCGGAGGCGCCCATCGCTCCTTGGATGCCGCTTATCAACAGCCAGCTGCCGTAGCAGAGATGGTTCTGATACACATGAATCCTGGCCGACGCCTTAAACATATCGCCAATGTTGGAGTAGATCTCCAAGGCCTTGTTCACTATGCTGCAGGCCTGCTCCTCGAAGTCGTCGTGGTCCTTGTTGGTTGGCCCGGAACTAGAACCTCCTCCTCCGCCGCTGCCTTGACTAGTGGATGCAGTCTGCTGCTTCTGGGAGCTGCCTGCTTGGCTCATTCCCAGTACACTGGTGGCTATCGATGTGAGGACAGCATTGTACAGGGCAGCAATGCCGCACATCGAAAGCCTTTCAATGCGACTGGGAGTCAGTGGCTGCAGCACAATCAAGGCATGCGCCTGACTCAAAATGGTGAGATCAGTGAGCATGTGATTCATGCTCGATTTAACAGTGGTGGCCTCCACTTGCGTCAGGGGCAAATAGAGCGGCTTGCCACCGTTGATGGTCTCCAAATATTTTGAACGGTAACGATTCAGGATGGGCAGGCCAACACACACGTCCAGCAAGGTATCAACTCCGTTTTGCTCCTGGAAGTACTCCACATTGGCCGCAAGCAGTTGGTCCTGTAATGGGAAAACATTTAAGTGGGTGTTTCTTAAATAACTCAGATGATCAGCCTTATTTAAAATCAGGTATTATATCAATCATATGCCTGTTTCAGTTTAAACTATTGAATTGTTTATTATTAATAATTCTATGAACTCAGAAAACGATTTTAAAATAAACTTCGTGGAAGTGGTCCAAGTTAGAATTGGAACAAATAAGTACTTACATTAATTTTAAGACTGTTTCTTTGTTTCAAACACGGTTGCCACTTCAAAAATTTTTTTTATGAGCGAAAAATAGATTAAAAATGAGCGAATTTGAATAAAAAAAGAGTTAAATATTTACCATATAGCAAATTACCAAGGGTTTCAGACATTAATTACTTTTAAAATTGCAAAGAAAAATGCATAAATAAAAAAAATTAATTCGTTTTTTTCAAGTTTAGAATATTTTTTATCGCTATTAGCAAAAAAAGAGCCAAAAAATGGCTCAAAAAGGCAACGCGAGAGCAAAGATTATGATCTGTTTACACTACGTGGGTTACGATTTATTACAGGTATATGAAAGGAATAAACAAGGCTGATGCTGGGATTTATCTTGCTCACTGTGCAGTCGGTGACCTCTTCGCTGAGCGGAACCCAGGTCATTTTGCCTGGCTCCAGTGGGGCAATCAATTGCTGCAGGATAACCGAGGACAGGTCCGACCGGGATCGCTTGATCTCCGACTTGGGCGACTCCTTGTCGTTGCTCGCTCCGCTGCCGGAGGAACTGCTGCTGGGCAGGATGCTCTTGGTGGTCGACTCCGGGTGCTTGCAGCTCTTCAGGACATTGGCCACCGCATTGTAGTCGAACATGGCCGACGATGTGGACGGCGGACTCTCGCGGCCCTCGCAGAGCATCTTGAGGGCGCCCAGGAGCCACTTGGTCTCGTACACCGACACCCTGGGCAGCCTGTAGATGATGAAGCGGATGAGCACGGCGGTGGCATCGTGCAGCTGACAAATCTGCGTCTGGCAAACTGCAAAGACCAACAGAGATTATAGATGTATGAATCACTCGGTTCTTGGCCAAACATTTCTTTGTTGTGTTGTTTTTCGTTGGCGAAAAATCATTAGGGGTGCACTTACTCGTCTTGATTTGCATAAGTTTGTCAGCCGCCAGGGCCGCAAAGGCCGTGTAAAACTGCGTGAAATTGCTTTCCTCCTCGAAAAAATCATGTTCGCTAGACAAATTGCGGGATAGAACGTTGCGTTAGATCTCGAAAATGCAGAATTTTCAAAGCTTTTGGCTGTTTCGTCACTCGGGCGGCCATATTTAATTTTGCAAGTCACTTTTTGCACTTGCACTGTGTGTAGTCCTCAAATATTTTTCACTGCGCCATTCGCCGAGGAAAAATTCTGGATCGCCTCCACTTACCATCGCGTGATCGCTTTTAGCAGGTTAACTACTTCGTTCTTGTTGAGGGCTCCTGTGCGGTTTAGCAGCAGAGCTTTTACTACGGAGTTCCAATCCGTTCCGCCGCTGTGGGCCGACATTATTGTTTAAATTCCCGTCAATTTGCCCGAAAGTACTCGGCCTACTGTTAACAGTGTGGCCAGATGGGAGGGGCGGGTAAATACCGCGCGACCAGGGCTACCAATAGTTGTGCACAATCGTATTTAGGGTATTCCTTAAACTGTTGCTTAATGGTTGAGTTATAATCAGCTTTTTATCAGCTGTCCCACAGAAATTCGATTGTCAGAAATTTTAGCAATTCAAAACCCATAGAATATGGAATCGTTGAAAAGGGCTGTAACATGTTTCAAAGAACTTGCTAGGTCTGTAACATTTTAGTACCCAAAAATGCTCGATCATTTTTCTGTAGCCTGTCATGCTCCGATCAGAACAGGAAAAAATGTTTCGAGCTCTGTCCTCTGTCCGAGCAAAGACACTTTGTTTTGTTTTACTCGTGTTGGGTGTCCCCACCTAACTAGATGGGATACAAACGAAAAAAATCAAAATAACAGTTAAGGACTAACATTTAAAAACCAATGCCTATGGCATTACTACAATTTACTACGGTTTACTACGATTTACTACGATTTACTACGATTAACTACGGTTTACTACAATTTACTTCGATTTACTACGATTTACTACGATTTAATACGATTTACTACGGTTTACGTCGATTTACTTCGATTTACTATGATTTACTACGGTTTACTTCGATTTACTACGGTTTACAACGATTTACTACGATTTACTACAATTTACTACGGTTTACTACGGTTTACTACGATTTACAATGGTTTACTACGATTTACTACGGTTTACTTCGATTTACTACGATTTACTACGGTTTACTACTATTTACTACGGTTTACTACGATTTACTACGGCTTACCACGATTTACTACGATTTACTACGATTTACTACGGCTTACTACGATTTACTACGGTTTACTACGGCTTACTACGATTTACTGCGATTTACTACGGTTTACTTCGGTTTACTACGATTCACTATAGATTACTATGTTTTACTATGGATAACTTTTTTATAAAATTAAGGAATGTATTTTTAGTTTCTCCTACCTAATAATTTCAGTCAGTAAATAACAATGAAAAATAAATGTATAGATAATCTCAGTTGGGAATATCCAAAGTATTTCGCGAATTGGTTTCAGTGCATTTTAAAATGACTAACGCCTTTTTGGTTTGTGAAATAAAAATACCAAACCGGCACTTTCCAATTTTTCCTTCCATTCAGTAGGGCAACACTGGCTACCTCGCGGATTTGTTTATAGTTTTTGGCAATGCAGTTCCACTTCAAAATCGCTGACGCTGAAAGGGACAGGGACAATGTGGCGGCGTCCAGCAATGTTGGCGCCAATCCGCATGCCGCCCTGCAGCCGCAACAACCTGTTGCACTGGTGGAACCGAAGGATGCACAGCACGAGATCCGATTGCAGTTGGTTGACGACATTCCGGGGACGCCTCGTGCAATAGATAGAAACCCATTGATGAATCCCTCTCTTGCAGGAATATAGTGGCCACCTTCTCGGTGAACTGTGAACTGGACCTCAAGTCCATCAACTCGCGCACCCGGAACTCGGAATATTCGCCCAAGCGCTTCAGGGGCGTGATCATGCGGATGCACTCGCCAAGGTGCACCGCACTGATCTTCCGGACGGGCAAGATCATCTGCACCGGTGCCCGCAACGAGATCGAGGCGGACATTGGCTCCCGGAAGTTTGCCCGCATCCTACAGAAGCTGGGATTTCCCGTGAAGTTCATGGAATACAAGCTGCAGAACATTGTGGCCACCGTGGACCTGCGCTTCCCCATCCGACTGGAGAACCTCAACCAGGTGCACGGCCAGTTCAGTTCCTACGAACCGGAGATGTTCCCCGGCCTCATCTACCGCATGGTCAAGCCCCGCATCGTTCTCCTGATCTTTGTCAATGGAAAGGTTGTCTTTACGGGCGCCAAGTCGCGAAAGGACATCATGGACTGCCTGGAGGCAATATCACCAATCCTTCTAAGCTTTCGCAAGACGTAGTAGGCTCTGCGCATCCACGTGTTACGCACTCTACTTTAATTTAGTTTATTTATTTTTTCTAAGAGCAATTCTTTTTATGTGTTTAGTTTTCTTTTCTTAAAAATAATTAATTTAAAAGAGCAGTTTTGTTTTGGTGCAGCCTAACCGGGAAAATATGAACTTTTTTATATATAAAGCGTGTCATTTTGTATACTTGAATTACTCATATTTCATTTGAATTTATGGAAAAATTATTTATATTAAATTTAAATAGTCAATAGCTCTGATAAAAGACTACTACCGACTTATAAAAAAACAAATATATTATTTTTTAACTAAGTGTTATTACTTTAGGTTATAAATACACCCTGTAAATTTATCAAATATGGTAAAAGGAAACTTTTTTTTAAATAAAAAGTACTTTTTTTGCAACCGGAGTTTAAAATGGGTTGGAGAAATTCTTTAGACTAACGGCCTATACCCCAGAAACCCCGAAAAATTATCATAGACGTTAGAGGCCTGCATGAATGTATTTATTTCAAAACTTACAGTACTGTACAGCTGTACACGGTACTCACATTTAGTATACTCATACAATATTGTAGAGAGTACCCACTCTACCGATAGTAACTGAGTACACTATTTTAGAGTTGCAACACTTTTTTAATACCATGTGTATGCTTCTCAATCTGAACAATACTATGAGTGTCGTCTCAATTACTATTGTGCAGTACTGTTCTCTGAGTAAAAAAAAAAAGTTCAAATTTGTATTGCAATAGCCCATCAGAAGACGAAGACTCCATAACTCAATCTAAGCCACAAATCGATCCTGTTTTTGAAGACTACACTCAACCAATCCAAAGCAATAGCCTTCATAATACAATTAATGATGAAATCGAAACATATAAACACGTTAAAATCTCGTACAGTGACGACTTTAATGTCCTGCAATGGTGATTTAATAATAAGAAACCATTTCCATTATTATACAAACTAGGCCTACAAATCTTAGCGGTCCCAGCAAGTAGCGCTCCGTCGGAGAGGGCGTTTTCAATTGCAAAAAATCTAATTTCCGCAAAGCGTTCCAAAATTGCTTCGACTGAAGACATGGTCAACAAAATAATGTATTTAAACTCCAACATAGACAGCATTAATGAAAATGTCTTAAATAGCGATTAATGTATTAAGAAATCCATCAATATTTTATGACTAACGACACTTTGTCTTTTTCATTAGGTTTTAAGTTATTCTGCTAGTGGATAGATTACAATATTACAAAGAAATAAGCAAGCTTTAACATTTTATAAATTCAGTAGGCCTTTTAATTTTGGGAAAACTTCATTCACTGTACAATGAGTTATTGTACACCAAAAACACTGTATTCACAATATACTATACTGTGTCTGGAAAAGTGAGTACAGTATTTGGCAATACAGTCACAAGTAATGAATACAGAAAAACTTATACAAGTTTTAAGAATGAGTGATTCATTTGTCAGTTTGAATGCATTCATGCAGACCTCTAATAATTTTAATAATTAAATCCGATTTTATAAAAAACTGCTTCCATCGTTTTTCAGAATTCTTAGCAAAGAAAAGTCGAGCCGTAAAACATTTTATTCATTTATTTTTCAGGATTCGTTTATTACAAAAGAAAACACAAGTTACTTTATAGAGAGAGATTCGATTCTTATGGTACGGAGGGGAACGACTTTTCAAATTTGTATACAGACGGAAATATTTCCTTGTTCCTCGCTTATTCAGCTTCAGCTTCATGTACATGGCTCTGTGAGATTTGTGTATAGAATTTAAAAACTAATTGTGGTTCATGTGGAGAGAATATACGTATAAAACTTACAAACTATGCAGATTCATTAGTTGCATAAATTAATTGGACGGTTTCTTCAACGTTTTTCTCGCTTAATTTCGTTTAAAAATATTCAAGAGTTAGGTAATACAAATTAGATAAATTTCCATTCGATATGCATGCAAACTTCTGTCAAGATACATTTGCTAATGATTTCTAAAATCTATTAAAGGCATTTTGTGAAAGACACATTGATTGATTTTTCATTCCGCACTTGGAGCCCGCTCTATGATAAGGCATAGTGTGGTTCGTTACGACTTACATTAGATACATTAGGTGGCTAAATGTGGTCTGCTTTGTGTGTAGCAGAAGATTCTTTGTTCAGCAATAAAAATAAAAATTAATTTACGATTAACTGCCGTTTGTACATTCGATTCTACAGCGGGTCTATGGAGTACTACAGAGAAAAAAACTAAAAATAAAACCAAAATGTTGACCAGCATTTTTGGACGGAATGCAATTTCGTTGGCAAACAAAAAGACTACAACTCAAAACAAAAAACTAAAAATGAACAAAAACACTACAAATCTTAGCAAAGTGTTTCGTGGGTGACTTTGTGGATATCGTTTACTCTTCCCTATGTGAGCAGCTGCATCATATTTAGGACCAGGTGCGTGCGACTCCGCAGCAGGTAGATAAACACGCTGAAGAAGAGCAGGGACATGGACATGGAGGCGCGCCAGCCCATGTTGTAGATGGAACAGTAAGGACACTGGGAGCTGCCGCACACCTCGCAAATGTTCAGCAAATAGGTGGGCAGGGCATCGAATATCGATTCGTTGAAACGTTCTGTAATTATTCAATTATTTAATGGGTTTGCTTGGTAAATATTCTTTATTTTTTGGACTAAACTTACCCGGTGCATAATAGTCGTAAATCCGCACCGGCAGATAGCGCGACATGTTGGCCACTGGATACCAGCGTTCTATGGTGAAGTTTACACAGATATCCTCGCGATCGAGCTGTTTAAAGGTTATAAAAATAAAGATCAGTTTGTGATTTTTCCTCATAATTTCATTAGTAACTTACATAGTCAAAGTAAAAGACAATCTTGCGTTCCAGATAGCGAGCCCTTCTCAAGTTCCTAACACGATTGCTGAGCACATAGCTGTCCAGTTTTTGCTGCTGTATCCAGTAGCCAGTTGGTATGGCCACATCTAAAACAGCCATTCCCGAACGCTCAGACTCATTTTGGTTAATCCAGCTGAAAAATGTACACTCTGTTTGAAAAGATCTTATGCTTTTAACGTTTTTCAGGACTCACTTTTGACAGGCAACGTAGGAGATATGCGACTGATTCCTGCCGTGGAAGATTGCCTTGGTGTGAAGTCCAAAAGCTGGCACCGGCGGCTTGGTTTGGAACTTTTCAATGTCCACATTGTATTGCACGTGCATCTGGAGGATGGCATAGCCAGCACCCTTGGCCTGCACCTTGATGGTGCCCCACGCGTCTGGAATCTAAAAGATAAGATAATAGAAAATAAAGTTTACAGTTTAATTACAAGACAAGATTCTTACTAAGAATGCATTCAATGAATTATTTTGAATTTTTTGTTTTATATGAATGAATTAATTACAATTTTGAGTTTAATAGAATTGAATGATCATTAATTCAAGAATTCCGAAATTATTCAAACGACAATTTCTTTTGAAGAAGAAAGGGCCATAATTTTGTGATTAAATCTGCCTGAATTTTATTTACTATGCAGTTAACATTGATTTGTTAAAAATTTTTCACTTTTTGTCCTCAAAAGAAAGCACAAAAAATAACTGGAAAATTAATAAAAATTATTCATTTATTGATTGAATTCAAAATGAATTAGAAAAACATTCAATTCATTTCACATAGAACTGAACTAAACAAATCAGAAATTTCATGTCATATAATGATTAAACAAAAATGGAATAATTCACGCAGGGCTCTAATTCTTACCTCGATACTCTGCAGTTTCGCCAGATTCGTGTCATCAATGTATAGCGTTTGAGTCTTGCCGCCCTGCGATGAGGCCTCGATCTCCACGGTCAGCGAGGACACCTCGCGCAGCCTCGACCGCACTGTGTACTCCACAAGGGCCTTCAGTGCTGCACTGGTATCCTGGGTGGATGCCCATCCGCCGTCGTTTAAGCGCTGCGAGTTCAACCACCTTACAATGGGATCCACAAAGAACTCACGACGTGCCACATAAACCAGCAGGGCGTAGGCGGTGGTCTCTATGTTGAGGGAGTCATATTCGTACGGCAGGCGGGGCAGGGAGAACCACTTTTGATTCTCCAGCTTGCGCGGTGGTTGCGGAATTTCCTGGTTACCCCAGTACATAAAATCGCCGATAGTCCTGGCCTGGCGTCGCAAAATGGAGAACACCTCTTCGGCAATCGGAGAGTTGCAAAGCTGCAGCGCATAGGCAGTAATGGCTACATCAAATGGCTGCGCTTGGTGTTTCAAAAAGTCCATATTCCTCTCTATATAGGCCACAGCTCGCTGGGTGGCCAAAGCAACGCGAGATCCCAGCGTGCCAGAGATATCTTTCACGGTGGCCAAAGTAATGAGGACATGCGAGGTGAGCGTGATGTTTTTATCAAAGTTGGTGCGATTCATCTTCCTGTCCGGCAGCCAAGTGACCTCGTAGAACGATCCCTGCGGCGTCTGGTGCTGCAGCAGCCAACGCATGTTCTTCTCAATAATGGTGGCATCGATCCAGATGAAGTTCTCCCACTCATAGAAGCTGGCCTCTTGGAAGACCCTCAGGCAGTAGCTGGTTAGCCAAACGGACGAATCGGAGTTGTTCCAATCGGAGCGGAACAAGGAGAAACTTCCATCGGGACGCATGAAACTCAGCTGCCGCTGATAGCCAATATTCATGTGGTAGAAGGCATTCTTCTCCAGCGTTTTGTTGCGCTGATTGATCAAACGCATGTACATAATTGTATATAGATTGGCGGCGAAACTGAAGGCATTCTGCTCGCCCGACTCCATGGGTAAATATAGCAAAGAGCTGGCGTTCACAGGCATGGTGGGGAAAATAGGACCCACTACATCGCCCACAACGGATATCCTAGCCTTGTTTGAGCCATACACAAAGTAACGATCCACCTGGTATGGAATCTCCGGCGTCTGGGTTACATTCACATGCATGTATTCCAAAACGTAGGCGCGGTTCGAGAGA